GGAAGTCTCCAAATGAGATTGCAAATCTCATAAACACAGCCTTCCTAGACCCCATGAAAACTTACCAACCTCTTACTTCTCTTCCCTCCTACGATCCAAATGACTCTGTCCTCCATCTCGACGAATTTGATGTGTATAAAGGGCTTGCGTCCCTTAACCCCAGAAAAGCCTCAGGCACAGACGGTGTTCCGAATTGGGTGTTAAACGAGTATGCAGAAGTCCTCGCCCAGCCTGTTAGTTCGATTCTCAATAGCAGTTTTAATGAACAACGACTCCCTGCCTCGTGGAAAGCAGCTGATGTTGTTCCAATCATAAAAACGAAACCGGTAACCGAAATTTGTAAACATTTAAGACCAATATCCCTCACCCCAGCCCTTTCTAAAGTAGCAGAAGAATTCGTTGTTTCTAAATACATTGGGCCAGCTATTCTGTGTCAAATCGACCCCAACCAATTTGGAGTGATACTAAAATCCTCTACATCTATGGCAGCGATATCAATGATCCACAATTGGTCCCAATCAACTGATGGCACTGGCGCAGCAGTCAGATTAGCCCTGTTCGACTATAAAAAAGCGTTTGACCTTATTGACCATTGTATACTCGCTGATAAGATCTCCAGATTACCAATTCCGAAGGCAGTCGTACGCTGGACTATTGATTTTCTATTGGACAGAAAACAAAGAGTTAAACTCGCAAGCGACTGCGTTTCAGAGTGGGGTGCTGTCCCGGCTGGTGTCCCTCAAGGCACGAAACTTGGGCCATGGCTTTTTCTATGGATGATCAATGATCTTAAAATCACTGAAGTATCTACTTGGAAGTATGTCGATGATACAACCGTTTCTGAGGTTGTTAAAAAAGGCGATACCAGGCAAAGCCCAAGACGCAGTTACCACAGTAGAAAACTGGTCGAATTCCAACAGATTACTTCTTAATGCAGATAAATGTAAAGAACTTCAAATCGACTTTAAATCCACGAAACAGAACTTCAACCCTCTTACAGTCTAAGGGGAAAAAATGCCGGTTGTCCAAAATGCTAACATTCTAGGCCTCACCATCTCTAGTAACCTTAAATGGACTAACCACATTAACGAAGTCATCAAAAAAGCTAACAAACGTCTTTACTTCATTATCTTACTTAAGCGCGCAAAAGTCAATACGAAAGACATTGTAAACTTTTACTGTACAGTTATCAGGCCCATTTTGGAATATTGTGCCCCGGTTTTCCATTACTCAATCCCATCCTTCCTGTCAGAAGATCTTGAGACGGTACAAAAGCGAGCACTGAAGATCATTTTACCCGCGAACAGCGAAACTTTAGAATATTTCAATCTTCAAACTTTGTTCCAAAGACGCGACGAAATGTGTAACAAACTTTTTACAAATATTACTAACAATCCGACACACAAACTGCATAATTTACTGCCTCCCAAACACGAGTCGGTTTACCAACTTAGGAACAATAGGCTGTTTGAACGATTCGAAACTAATACAGAAAGATTTAAAAAAACTTTTATTCCTATGATTAGTAACTTAAGTTAATGTAATTTTTAGTACTAAGCGTTTTAATGACCATTTGTAAATATGCCTAATTAACCCATATTCTATCTTTTAAATAATGTTTTATATACTCTTGTAAATCACGCAATTCAGCTGTCCAGCTGCAAGGTGAATCTTAAATACACTATCTATCTATCTATCTATCTTTGCTTTTAGTTGCCAAAATTTGGCCTTGACTTTATCACTTATTCGTAAGTAAAATCACCGGAATTTTCTTCTCCGCCAAGTCCATCTGCCACAATCCAATCCAATCAAACCAATTCCTACTTTTAGCTTATCACTATAATTCAGGCTTGACTTAAAAAAACATATTTCCGTAGGAAATATTTATATATTTGCCTTCGTTGCTTTCACGAGGTGTGGCATTTAACGAGCTCAGTTTTCTTGGCAAAACAAAACACAGACTTGACTTGGGATTATTTAGCTGTGAAATTTCACATTCTCTTTATTTAAAATGTCGTCAATATTTAATTAGAAATATCATAAAAACATTAATTAAAATTGATAATTTGAATTAATAATCAGAGTCTGCTAATGTTCATTGCCAGTAAAGGTAGCAGGACTATATGCAAAGACTACGCAGTTGAAGTCAGTCGAAAGGCAGCGACTCAAGTTACACTTCTGCTATACTTTCCTATTTTGTAGCTCAGATTCGTCAATAGTCTATGATCCGATCCCTGAGTTGTTGCATTATTTAAATAACGCTCGTCGAGTCTCCGATTTTATACTAATATATTTATCGTTTTTGTCGTGGTACGTTAAATGATTGATTGCGCATGCGTAACCGATTAAAGCGTAAAAAGTGCGCATGTGCAACAAGCTTTTACATCCCACAAGCAAAGAAGCAAATGTTTTAGCTTAAATTCGCTGATTGTAAGTAGGGCATGTTTGTCCGTTCTTAAATGCGAACCCAACTATGCAAACTAATAGCATGGCTTTTCGGGAGATTAGTGATTAAACGACTCCGTAACCCGAGCCAGGTTTGCGGAATCGGATTACGGGGTCATTTAATCACTAATCTCCCTCAAGCAATGCTATTACTTATAATAATTTTTTATATAACCGAGTCAAAGCACACCGCAATCACCACTGTTAAATTAACTGTAGTGTAGGCCGATCGAAAGCAGTCGCCTCTGCGAAACCACTTTGAGTGGCAGCATTATGTTGTAAATAGATCCATTCAATATCATGTAAATAAGTAGAACAACCACTAAACATTTAACAGTCGCACCTGCTAACTGTTAACACACAAAGGGAATAAAATGGTCAGAAATAACAGTTGAAGTGAATAATTACTAATGAACATTAATATATCTGGTGATCAAGACGAGATGTCCCCCCTGCTAGAAAGGCCCTCTGGACCACCAAATGTACGATGCAACGGACCAAGCGACAAGACCCTGCGACATTGTCGCCCGGTTTGGAAGGATTGTGTTACTTAATAATAATAATAATAATAATAATAGTTTTATTGATCCATCTTTAGTGTAAAAATACAATGGATTTACAGTTAGTAAAATCTAAGTAGTCTAGGAGTTATATGTACAGATAAAAATATTAGGAGTAGTTATAAAAATATTGTCTATAATAGCGAGTTTGTTCTGGGAATAAACGATAGTTCATGCCTTTTAGTGTATGAGAGAAATTGGGAAGAGTTTTTGGTGTTCTTAGGTCATACGTGTTCGTCACTATGTCAGGTATATATTTCCTGCATGAGTGCGTTTCATCATTAATGATTTTCTTGTACTCACGAATGGCAAGATTATCCCGACGTTGCTCTAGAGACTGAAGAGAATCAGAAGGTAGCCCAATAATTTTCAGTCTCCTAGTCTGGATACTCTCCAGTTCGTCCGTAAGGTATTGTGGCAGACCACCCCATATTGGGGCCGCATATTCCAGAACCGGTCTTAATTTGGTTTTTTAGCATGTTAAACCCACTTAGGTTGGTAGATTTGATCGACGACATTCCCGTAGGTAAAATAAGCGTTTGTTTGCTTTCTTTGTAATTTCTTCAATGTGGGTGTTCCATTTAAGGGTATTATTAATCCAAAGACCTAACAGCTTGAACGAGTTTACTCTTTCAATCGTATCATTGCCAATCTTAAGTGATGGTGGTTCCGGAATTGCAGCTTTAAAGCAGATCCACATGTCTTTCGTCTTTTTTGCGTAAAGTTTCGTCTTGTTTCTGAGTGCCCAGTCGTTCATTGTATCAAGCACCTCTTGCATGTTGCTAGGAGAACGATATGGAATCACTTCATCTTGAGTGCAGTCATATGCGTATTTGTGCGTGTTGATGTCCAGATGATTGGGAATGCAGTCTTCGAGGTCATCCACATGAACATTAAACAATGTTGGTGATATAACAGATCCCTGGGGGACTCCGGTAAGGCAAGGCCTTATAGATAACAGAGCACCTCGTAATTTTACTTGCTGACTCCTCCCTTCTAGAAAGCTCCTTGTCCATAGCCAGAAGCTTTTAGACACGTTCATTTGGCGAGCTTCCTTAAAAGCAATCCGTGGTCCACCAGATCAAATGCTTTGCAAAAGTCGATAAATAGGGCGTGGACACCCATTCTTCCATCACGTCAGTTTTCAGTCTCGTTGAACCGTCGCCAGTGCAGATACAGTTGATCTACCGTGTGTAAATGCATGTTGATTATCTTTGATCTTAAGGTCCCCTTTGTTTAATTTAAGTTGGATGCTTTCTAAGACTTTAGCCAATTGCGGTAATACTGAGATTTGGCGGAAGTCATGGTCCATGTCATTAGGAGGGTATATTTTAGCCACTGGGGTGACAAATGCGTGTTTATATAGGGTTGGGTATTTAGCCTGGGAGATGCTGGAGCATATGATGTTATGAATAACAGGGGCAAGTTCTTCATTGTAACGTTTCAGTAGCCATGAATGGATCCCATCTGAGCCAGTGGCCTTCCTAGGATTGAGATGTTTAAGGGTAACCTTAATTTCTCCGACGGAAGGCAACGGGGGACTGGTATCATTCTTTTGTAGGTGTTCAAGTTCTCCAACATCCGGAATTTCAGTGGGGTTGGCATTCTGCCAAGGTTTGGTGAAGCTTTGTTGCAGGCGTTCCGCTAAGTCTGCTGCATCATCAACTGGCGGTTGAGAGTTACAGTCATTAGCGGCAGCTAATCAGATAATGAAGCAGTTGTTGAAAGAGTTGAAACTCGAATATATTTTTGAAATGAATTCGTTTTCCGCCGACCTAGAAGATGAATCTGTGCATCGGACAAACCGTTCTAAGCAGCGAAAGATAATGCACCGATTCGAAACGATTGTGATTTGCAATGTGACAGACTTAGATCACAGTATTTGAGGCAAGCAACAAGCTTTGCGGTGCGAACTTTTCTTGGCACCGCGACGCCCTCCACTGTCATAAATACCGTATGCGGACTACAGCCACGATGCTTTAAATAACTTCATTATAACTGCACAGGGCAAGCGCTTGTTTGCTGGTTGATGACCATAGTAAATGATCGCTGATTGTAGTTATGCTTGTAATCTGCAAACATTAATTGGTAACCAATCACTTCACCATCTCTTGAGAGTTTGGTGAGCTGGTTTAACTGTATAGGCAATTGCCCGGCTGTGATGTTGCTGTGATCTTACCGACGCGCAATAATGCGAAGAATGCTAGAGCACACATCGTACGAAGATGGCACTGGTCGTAGTACGTAGCGGCACGGCCGTTAATAATCGGTTTAAAATCATTAGAGTGATAGGCAACCTAGCGTCCAAACGAAAACCCTGTTTGCCATAGCCTTTCAACATTTGCACAATGTAAAATATTTTAGTTGGATCCATCAATCCCATTAATTTGTGGGAATAACCGAGACGTAGGTGTTGACAGTAGAGGAGGCGTAACGCCAGTCAAACATGTCGGCGATAAAACGTGCTAATGTAGAAGGCGAAATTTGTAGTTTATATGAAAATGTTTGAAACACCTGAGAATGAAATTGGTCAAAAAGTTTCCAAGCGCGTTGGTAAGTTGGAATTGAGGATCGCTGGAGGCTGGATTGTGTCAAGTGGGAAACGATATTTCCCAATTCGCTGGCAACAGATTCCGCAGAATGTCCGTTGCACAGGAATTCATCGAGGCTGGTGCTTCGCGTTTGAAGGTTTGAACCTGAAATCGAGACAAAAGATCAGCCAGACGATTGTACGACCCATGAATGTGCTCGGCTTTAAATAAAATATTGTTGTTTAAACAAACAAGAACAAGCTTGCGAACAAAAAACATCAATGCCGTGTCCTTGCATGATTGCTTATTAATGACATGAAGGAGTGCTTCATGTCATTAATTTTTTAACGTTGCCATTACGTTTTATTGGGTGATGAGAAAGACGGACGCCGTAGGTGAGATCGATTAGTCGACGCAAAAAAGCCCTTCCTGGGGAGACGACGCTGCACACAAAATTGAACAGACCAACTAGGGACTGAATTTCGCGCAAAGTAACTTTTTTGCACCGCAAAAATTCGCTGATAAATTCTACGCATTTTTGCAGCTTATCACGAGGTAAACGCGCTTCAAGCTTAATGGTATCAACCTCAATTACGGCGAAAGATAGGGTTGTCGAAGGCCCAAATGTTTTCTCTGGCGCCAGCGGCAGACCAATAAGTGCACAAAATGCTAGAAAGCGATGTAACTGAGTCTGACAGGAGTCATAAGAGGGTGCAATGAGCAAAAAATGATCAAGTAAATGTAAATTATATTCGATATCGAGCTTGTGTTGAGCAATCCATGGACGAGAAGTACTAAAAACTTCAAAGGTTTTGCAAGAACTGGCAGCACCCATAGGCAAGCAACGATCGAAAAAAAATATTCTGCGCGATTTCTTAACCAATAGATAATGGTCGGAGGGTCGAATTGGTATAATTCGAAAAGCGCTCTTTACATCGCTTTTTGAAAGAAGACATCCATGTCCCGCGAGTTTGATTAAGTGAATAGCATCTGCAACTGTGGCATAGTGCACGCTAGTGTTTTCGGTAGCTATGCCATCATTGACAGAAGGACCGCGCGGGAAGGACAAATGGTGAATAAAACGAAATTCGCCAAATGTCTTTTTTGGAACTAGACCCAACGGAGAAACCCTAAATGTGTGAAATGGCGCGGCAGTAAAAGGCCCTCTAAGCCTGAGAGCTGACAGTTCTTTAGCAAGTTTTTCCTCAACCATGGTTGGATTAGCGAAAGCCGAAGGCAGATTTTTGCCTTCTTGGCTGTTAACAACACCAGAAAAATGTAACGCAAAACCATTAGTTAAACCTGAAACGAGCGTAGATATTATGTCTGCAAAATAACCGTTTAAATATGGATCAAGCCGATTTAAGTTGATTGGCAAATCTGGGAAAATCGCGCCTAAGTTGGCCACGAAAATTACATTTAAGGCCAGGGTGTAGGCAGTCACACTTAAAACAAGAATGTTTAAATTCACACCAAGAACAAGCCTCTGCTTTGTGAAACTTGAAGAAGGATCCTCGATGAAATTAATATTTTGGCCCCTTATCGGAAGGGGCACGCTGCATTGGGCAGGTTAATATGTGCGAAGTATGTTGCGATCGCAGCCACAATTCCCAGTGAACGTTGGCCCAAGACAACGAACTACGCTTGATTTGACGCAAAGAGCGAAAGTTTTCATCGTAGAACCGCCAATTTTGACCCCCATCTGCCATGTCCTGTACAATATCCCCGTGTTTCATGAGTGTGGGGGACTCATAAACCTCTACAAATGTGCTAACTGCACTCATCCAACCAGAAATATTTGTTATTTTCTTGGCTATACTTATCGGCTCTACTGAAGGAGATGGTTGTAAACCGGAGTCAGAAGATCTAATTAAAAGCTCAATTGGAATTTGTTTTCCGACATTGTATTGCTCAACAAAGACCCGAAATCGATGTATTCATGGTTCCAAATTTTATTTTTAAGTTTAATGGAAATCTAACAGTCTATATAGGTAAACTAATAGAGAGATATTCCTGCGTTGGTTTCACACGGCTAGAATTAGGCGCCAAAAACGTCTCACCTGAAATTGCGTTGTAAACAGCAGGTTGCGCCACAGCCGTCGGAGGAGTAGCGACATGTTCTGAGATGCGGACAATGGGCGATTCCGTAACTGAGGCAGCAGATCCAGAAGGAGAATTCGATGGGACTTCGTCGACACCAGGCACTGGAGTTGCTACAGTTTGCAGGCGACGAGTAACTTCTGCGGTCGCGGAGCTGACGATCTCTTGGAGCTGTTGTGGCGTGATAGCAGAGGCCGGAGCAAGAGGAGCAACATTTGCTGGTTGACAACAAAGTGGCCGCACCACTCGCCCAATAAAACGCCACTAAGAAATAAAGAGGAAGTAGCCTCACATTAACTCGTGTGAGGGCGCAGCCATCATAAATAGACGAGAATAAAATCTAACAAGGTTTATAAAGTATAGGGAGTACTTCTCCAAATTAAATAAACCATATTCCGTGTGGACGCAGCCCACACCGGAATCAAAGTGTGAGGGCGTAGCCTCATGCAAGAAGAAATCAAAATAAAATTAAACAGTATGTGGTGACATAAAAGTACAAATGACATTCAACCGAAGATAAAATACTAACAACAGGAAGGCTTGCATGCTAAAACTTTTAGAATAGCACCGCGAAAACTGCGATGCAGGCTCTACGATTGAAATGAACACCGTCTGGTGAAAATGGAGATTTAACGCGCTGTAGGAAGCCCTTATGACTCCAGCAAAAAACATTGGAAACACCGTCCAGAACAACATCTAAATATTGGTTCAAAATGAACGCCTGACTGTTGAACTCCAGGGAAGCTGCCCGATTGTGTAATGAGGCAAACCTCTACTATCTGAACATAAGGGAGCTGAAGTAAAAAATGAACGAGGTCATCGATGTTGGAACCTACTACTTCGGGTTTGCTATGGCTAAGGTCGTTAGTACCAATTTCCAAAATTACCACAGCAGGTCCAATTGAACGAACTTTATCTAGTCGAACGCGATCAATTTGTCTACTATGCGTCCCCTAATTCCATGCAATTTTATGGACGCCCTTCGTACATTAAAACTTACGGCCTCACGAACGTCGAAATTAAAGCGCAAATCGCAATGGAGACGTTTGACTCAAACGAGTATCCAAACAACAAGAAATTTTGGGCGTGACAATTACATTAAACCCAATTTATAAATATCAAAATATAAGAATAATAATAATTGAAAAGAAAGACGTCCAAAACGTCATTGAAAATTCGCATGTCTTCACTCGATCACGGGAAAGGTTAAATTGAGAAGCGAATAACTTTGCTTTGCTTTTAGTAGCTAAAATTTGGCCTTGACATTACGTCTCTTACATAGGTAAAATCACCAGACTTTCTCCGCCATTTCTTTCTCCTACTCTTAGCTTATCACTATAATTTAGGTTTGACATAAAAAACATCTTTCCGTTGGAAATATTTTATGTTTCTCGTCTGTATTACTTAGATACCAACGAATGTCTATCAGATTCACCTTGCCATGCGAATGCAACATGTAATAACACCGAAGGATCTTACCTCTGCACATGTGATTCTGGATACAGTGGTGATGGATTTACATGCAATGGTAAAACATCAATGCGCAACATTAAAAGTTCGAGAACCAGTAACCACAAGATACATCTAAAAATAATGCATGAATTTACTTTTCTTTATTACTTAGATACAAATGAATGTCTAACAGATTCACCTTGCCATGCGAATGCAACATGTAATAACACACAAGGATCTTACATCTGCACATGTGATTCTGGCTACAGTGGTGATGGATTTACATGCAATGGTAAAACATTAATGCGCGACATTAATGTGGAGAACCAATAACCACAAGAAACATCTATAACAATGGATAACTTTATGTTTCTTCTTTACTTAGATACAAACGAATGTCTACCAGATTCACCTTGTCATGCAAATGCAACATGTAATAACACCGAAGGATCTTACTACTGCATATGTGACTCTGGATACAGTGGTGATGGATTGACATGCAATGGTAAGTAATTCACTACATGAGCATAGGAGTGGCAATGACCACAACAAACATCTCTAAATAATGGATAAGAAACACCTATAACAATGGATAACTTTATGTTTCTGTAGTACTTAGATACAAATGAATGTGCACCAGATTCACCTTGCAATGCGAATGCAACATGTAATAACACCGAAGGATCTTACCACTGCATATGTGACTCTGGATACAGTGGTGATGGATTTACATGCAATGATAAAATATTAATGCGCGACATTAAAATTCGAGAACCAATAACCACAAGAAACATCTGTAAACAATGCATAACTTTTTTGTTTCTTTATTACTTAGATACAAATGAATGTTTAGCAGATTCACCTTGCCATGTGAATGCAACATGTAATAACACACAAGGATCTTACATCTGTACATGTGATTCTGGCTACAGTGGTGATGGATTTACATGCAATGGTAAATTATAAACAACATGAGTGTAGGACTGTCAATGATCACAGCAAATATGTCTAAATAATGAATAACTTTATGTTTCTTTATTACTTAGATACAAACGAATGTCTACCAGATTCACCTTGTCATGCGAATGCAACATGTAATAACACCGAAGAATCTTACCTCTGCACATGTGATTCAGGATACAGTGGTGATGGATTTACATGCAATGGTAAAACATTAATGCGCAACATCAATATTCGGGAACCAATAACACAAGAAACGTCAATAAACAATGCATAACTTTATGTTTCTTTATTACTTAGATACAAATGAATGTCTATCAGATTCACCTTGCCATGTGAATGCAACATGTAATAACACCGAAGGATCTTACATCTGTACATGTGATTCTGGATACAGTGGTGATGGATTTACGTGCAATGGTAAGTTATACACATGCAACGTGAGTATACGAGTGGCAATGACCACAACAAACATTGCTATGCTAGAAATACATGCATGCAGCAACCCCTCGTCCAACCTCGTACCCAGGCCCTTTCCACTACAGGCCTCGCTGGAGGAAAGACCCTGGTCCAGGCTGGTCACGTGTCTCCCAGATTTTGGGAGATAACAATTGGGACTTATGGGGGGTAGGGAAGACAACTATGGCGTTCGAGTTCAAAACAATGCAAGGAGTGTGAATAAAGCAACACAAAGGACTACCTTGAAGCGAAGTTTTTGTTGGTATGTATTTTTCATAAAATACGTAATAACGGTTATTGTAAGGGACGAAGTCGTTAATAAGGCCTGGCTGGGCATTTGTAGATAAACTCTTAAAAACGTTACTGTAATAGGCGATACTTAGGTGTTCTTTTCGAAGCTTACTCAACCACACAGTCTCGGGTTTAGTTCTACATATCAACACGAAAAGGCAGAATGCTCGGAAAATTACTGTTGAGTGATTTATTCGGCAGAACATTTGTTTAACCAGAATCATGATTGGATATTAATTGATATTTGTGAGCGATTATAAAATAACCGCTGTTCGTGTAGAGTACTGTGTGGTCGATTTTCCGACAATTTTGTTGAACTGAACATGTTCAGCGAACAATAAATAAATACATTAATATACACAGGCTATTTAGCTCGACATTCTCTCTAGTCAATCCTCTATTTTGGCTGTTTATAGGAGCGTATTTATTTGCAAGCGATTGTGTCCCATGAGTGAAGTATGATCAATGTTTACATAAAATTGTATAATGGGCTCTTGCTTTAGCTGGGTGAAAGCTTTGTATTCTGTTTTAGAATTTCTTTTAAAACTTTTAGCATGTTACGACAGCAGTGCATGTTTTTATTAATACGCGATAAGTTAAAGCTACAAAATTAATAAACATTAAATTTTCAAAGCAAACTTGCCCTATATTTAGTAAATCAATGCCCATAGTAAATCAATTCTTCTCAGATCTTTCCCAAGACAGTCTGGTAGAAGTGGTGGCGGAAGGATATTCTGTGCAAAGAATCGTTAAATGTAAAATCCAGTGACTGTGGGGAATTTAATTCGTTTGAATTCTCGGAGTGGAATGTTTGTGTGCACAAGCAAACCATTAAAGTGGTGACAATCTATCGACCTCCCTACTCGGAAGATCACCCGGTTTCATCAAATGTATTTTTCGAAGAGTTTTCATCATACTTGGAGAACATCGTTATGATTCCCGAAGTACTCTTGATTACAGGTGATTTTAATTTTTACGTTGATTGTCCAACCGAAGCAGACGCGAAAAAGTTTGCGGACTTAATGAATACTTTTGGACTTATCCAACATGTTCATGTCCCAACTCATTCATCAGGTCATACCCTTGATTTGATTATCACTAGATCAATTAATGATGTCACAATCACCTCTCCTTTGGCGACGTTTGCTTTGTCTGATCATTTTTTTGTTGAATGTTTGTTGGATATTCCTCGCCCAAACATCCTAGTTAAAGAAGTTTGCTATCGCAAAGTTAAACATATTGACCTCAATGCCTTTAAAGCTGATATATGCGCCTCAGATCTATTTCAGAAAACTTGGTCAAGTGTTAATGATATGTCAAAATGCTATGATGTTACCCTACGTTCTATTCTCGATAAGCATGCTCCTTTGAAATCGAAAATTATGACTGTTCGACCAATGGTTCCTTGGTTTAATGATAGTTTAAAGAAGCTGAAAGCTAAACGTAGGAAACTGGAAAGAATCATGCTTAAATCGAAACTTGAATGTGATAAGAATGCTTATCGTAAGGTACGCGATGACTACAGTGCTATATTGAATGACACCAGAAAAATGTTTTATTCCAACCTTATTGACAAATCTGCTGGTGATTCTAGAAAATTATTCCAAATTGTGAACTCTTTGAGCAAAGAACGTCTAGTTGAGGAGTTTCCTGAAAATCGCGATCCTTCCATCCTTGCTAACGAGTTTGGTGAGTTCTTTTGTAAGAAAATTGAACTCGTGAAATCAAAGATTGACGAGATTTCCATTAACCCACCTAATGTTCCATTTCATCTGCCTGAAGTGAAATTGGATGAATTTTCTTCGGTTTCTGAGGATGAAGTTCGGAGGATTATTCTTGAATCTTCGAATGCCTCCAGTAAGTTGGACCCTATTCCTACATCATTGGTTAAACTCTGTTGTCATGAATTGGCCCCAATCATCGCTGAAATCATTAATCTCTCTTTTTCTGAAGAAATTGTACCCGATCATTGGAAAATAGCGCTAGTTCTACCTCTTTTGAAGAAATTTGGACTTGATTTTATGTTTGAAAACTTCAGACCTATAAGCAACCTGCCATTTGTTGCCAAGTCTGCTGAGAAGGCAACGATCTCTCAGTTATCTATACATTGTGCTGAAAATGCCCCTTTTCCCGAGTATCAATCAGCGTATCGGAAAAATCACTCAACAGAAACAGCTTTACTAAAAGTCCAGAACGACATTCTCCTCAGTATGGATCAGCAGGAGGTTACGCTTCTTTTGCTTATCGACCTAAGTGCCGCATTTGATACTATCGACCATGCTATCTTACTGGAGACACTTGAAAAAGACTTTGGCGTAACTGGAAATGCCCTCAAATGGCTAACATCTTATTTATCCGAGAGAAAACAAACAATTTTAATTAAAGACCATGAATCGGAAGTTTTCAATCTTCAATCGGGAGTTCCGCAGGGTAGCTGCCTTGGCCCTGTCCTCTTCATACTCTATGTGGCTGGGTTATTTAAGGTTATTGACAAACATCTTCCCAATGCACATATGTATGCAGATGACACCCAGATTTATCATTCGTTTCGGCCGGATACATCTTTATCGCAAGATGCTGCACTAAAGAGTATTGAAAACTGTGTTGCTGACATTCGTGCCTGGATGCTTTCTAACCGTCTCTTGATAAATGATTCCAAGACTGAATTTATTATCATCGGTTCAAAGCAGAAAATGTCAAAGATTAACATCAATGAAATTGCAGTTGGTGAATCTACAATCGTTGGTGAATCTACGTAGGCTTTTCACTCAGCCTAAGCGAAGGGTTTAATATCAACGGGCAATCAATATAAAAGCTACTGAAATATAAAGTCTGTGGTATCTAATAAACAGGTATAATAACACAGGGTATACTAATAACACAGGGTTAAAGTTCGAATTTCATTCCAAATTTGATGGAAATTTGAAGTAAATTTCAATTTTGAAAAGTGGAAATACTATTAATGCAAAAATTCACTGGCAATTTGTGAAAATGATCCGTTAATTCATATAGGAATTTACACGGTTCGAGAAGTATTAATGAAAGATCGCTTCAATGAAAAACGAAAGTACTTCGAGAACAAGTGTAATTTCCTATTAATATCATTTTATGCCCAGTTTTACACGAGCAATCAATTATAAGAAACATTGTATTTATAATGTAGTTAAGCGAGCACGGCCATACGTGGTTTTGTCAATTTTGAGTGTAATTTCTGGCATTAATTTTCAGTTCATATCTGTGAAAGACTGTGAATAATCTTTATTTCTCCTTTATCTTTAATATTTACACATACTTATAAAAGATTTCATTGCAAAATAAGAGCTCAGAAAATATGAATTTTCATGTTGTTTACACTTGTATTTATACTTTGAGATCTTGTGTTTAATGCACGCGGGCTCGTATCCGTGCCGATTAATCTTTAATCGGTACGGTTTTTAACCAATCAGAATCGAGTAAATTGACTAAAATGATATTAAAACTTTAAAACATGCCTTTTAAACATAACCTACTAAACTCTATTATTATATACTGTAAATCTCAAAATTCGCCCATACTTCGCCCATAAACGTACGTTGAAAGGAACAAATAAAAGGTATGGGCTAATATATGGGGCTTATGTTTGGAATGGTCTGAATATTAGTGAACAGGATACATGGGCTGATACATGGGGGATGGTAAATAGGAAGGAGGGCTTATATAGGGGGGTTTATACTCAGAGGTTTACACTCAGATGTTGTTTTTATGGTATAAATCTTGTTAAGAAATAGTAATACAGCAGCAGCACATCAACATTATTACCCAGAGTTAGATAGCAAGGCAATAAGTTATCTTCTCGTAATAGAACGGTGGGCAGGAAGTTCTTTTCATGAAATTTTGCTTTTCCACCGGCCCTGCCTTTTAGTATATTTTGCATGGTCCCTTAATAACCTCAGTGTGCTTATCCCACTCCGGGCAAACAGCCATATTTTTTAGATAAAGTGAGAATGTCCACAGCGCACAGTAACCCACGCCTGCGAAAGTTAGACTTCGCTAATGCTTTCCCTTACCCTGGTGCAAATAGCCGGGTGGAATTAGTACCCTCCCCCCGGGCTAACGGCCGGAACGGCGCTCCGCGCCGTTCGCTCGTGGATAATGAATAACTTTATGTTCCTGTATTACTTAGATACAAACGAATGTCTACCAGATTTTGCTTGCCATGCGAATGCAACATGTAATAACACCGAAGGATCTTACCTCTGCACATGTGATTTTGGATACAGTGGTGATGGATTTACATGCAACGGTAGAACATTAATATGCAACATTAATATTCGAGAACCAACGACCACAAGAAACGTCAATTAATGATGCATAACTTTAAGTTTCTGTATAACTTAGATACAAGCGAATGTCTACCAGATTCGCCTTGCTATGCGAATGCAACATGTAATAACACACGAGGATCTTACATCTGCACATGACATTCTTAGAGCATGCTGATTGTTAGATACATTGGAAGTATAAGGACCTGGGCACTAGTTTACTTTATGTTCTTTTATCATTGCGTATTGCGAAGTTATATTATATTAATCTCAGATAAAATAAGGCAATGATACTGAATGCACGCATGAAATGGACAGACTCCTATCTATAATAAAAGATCATAATAAACCAAACTATCTGTGGGACTAAAGCAGGAAATAGCGACGAGAAATACCTGCAATTTTGACTTGGTAAAAAGTCGGAGACGAAGCGCTCACATCGCGGCTAGACCGACGACAGACACACTCCACTGACACACTCAAATAAACGCGGTAAGATCAAAGGAAATAATAACAGAGATATAGCAATAAGCGAATCTTCTCACACTGCCAAGCTTCTAGCAAACAAAGAAAGCAAGCCACCCAATCTGCAATTCTGCAAATCGAGATTATCGCGCCATCTTGGAAATTTTCGCGCAAAACAATAACGGACTCGTAATTCCTATCACTCAAAATGCGTGAAGCGTTTTGGAGTTATAAATACCACAATTTCACATCGCTTTGAAGTTAGAAAATACACAAACACAGTAAGCAGGAAGGACCACCAATGTGACTGATGGTCGACCCAAATGCCGAACCGATTGCCCACCATACCACAATTCCAGTACCTGTCCATTGGCAAGATGAAGTGAAAGCTGGCCTTGACCGCGACGTAGCACTTGGTGTCATTAAGTCGGTCCTAGCTGGTGTACCCGTAACATGGTGTCACCGGATGGTAGTATGCGCCAAGAAGAACGGCAAGCCTCGGCGAACCGTCGATTCCAAGCACTGAACATACATGCGACAAGAGAGACCCACCATACGCGAAGCCAATTCCACCAAGCGCGATCCGTTCCTAGCAACAAGAAGAAAACAGTATTCGATTGCTGGAATGAATATCACAGCGTAGCGTTAGAGGAGAACGACCGCCACCTAACCACGTTCATAACACCATGTGGTCGCTACAGAAACAAAACCGCACCCCAAGGTTACATTGCGTCAGGTGTTGGTTACTCGCGCAGACATCCCTGATAAAACCAAATGCATCGACGATACGCTACTCTGGGCTGACAACCTCACCACCAACTTCTTCCAAGCAGTCAACTGGCTAGACATTTGTGGCCGTAATGGTATCACCCTAAACCCAGATAAATTCACATTTGGTGAAGACACAGTAGAATTTGCAGGATTTCAAATCACCATGGACACTGTCCGACCGCGCCATAGATATATCGATGTAATACGCCACTTCCCAACTCCAACCAACAACACAGATGTCCGCTCATGGTTTGGCATGATCAACGAGGTTTCATACACCTTTGCAGCAACAGAACGCCTCCTACAATTCCGCCAACTTCTCAAACCAGGAACACCATTCAAATGGAACAGTGCGCTTGACCAGATCTTCGAAGAGTCCAAGTCAGTAATCATTAACGAGATAAACGAGGGCATCCGCATCTTTGACAAATGAAAGCCTACATGCCTTGCCACAGACTGATCTAGAAATAGAATCGGATACTGGCTGTTCTCGAAACACTGCAATTGCCCATCCACTGAGCCCTTCCGCTGCCGCACAGGTTGTCGAATCACACTGGTAGGAAGCCGTTTCACTCATGCAGCCGAATCACGTTATGCACCAGTCGAAGGCGAAATTTTAGCGGTAGCTGATGCCCTTGACAAGACCAGATTCTCCTCCCTGGTTTGCAACGACCTGATCATCGCCGTGGACCACAAACCATTGCTCAAAATGCTCGGTAAAAGAACCCTACGTTACAAATTCCGAATGATCCATATTCCATAGGATCAATATCCGTCTCCTGTCACCCCACAGGCCCACTTAACCCAGACATGCTAGTACTCCCAGACGATACTGCAACAACAAGTGGTTCGACGACCTCATTCCCCCTAAATGAACTCGGACGCTCATTCCTGTCTGGAATTCGCTCTTAAAAGACGCCACCCAGCCAAACCATCGACACTGAGCTCGTATCAACAGTCACACCCACCATAAACACAATTGCGACCACATGGGACAGAGTGAAACTTGCAACAACAAGCGATGAAATGATAAACAGACTAGTATCGATCATCTAATCAGGATTTCCAGAGTTTCGGCATGAACTCCCACAACCCCTCCAAGAGTATTACCAATTTCGTGATCATCTTTCCACAGTAGATGGAGACATTATGTATAAAGACGGTGTCATCATACCAACATCCCTCCGTAAACACATCCTGACAGTACTACACTCCGCACACCCAGGTGTCACCTCGATGACAGCACGTTCAGAGGTAGCGGTCTTCTGGGCAGGCATTTCTCTTGCCATCACTGCCATGCGAACCACCTTTGGTCATTGCAACCGCATGGCCCCATCACAATCCGGTGCACCCTCAACCCACCAGTACAACACGCCTCCCATTCCAATGCGTTTGTGCTGATTTCTTCACCTACAAGGGAGTTAACTCTCTAGTCATGGTAGACCGGTATTCCAACTGGCTCATCATCAAACGGGCTCAAGATGTTCCCAACGGCCTCAACAACAGTTTGAGACACGCATTTACAACTTTTGGTATCCCAGACGAATGTGCAGCAGACGGTGGTCCCGAATTTACAGCATTTGAACACACCAATTCCTTCAGGTTTGGGGCGTCCATGCACCACCGACATTCATCAGCCTCATTCCCCCACTCTAATTGCAAAGCAGAAGTTGCTGTCGAGACAATTAAGCGACTCATCACAAAAAATAACAGCCCAAATGGCAGCCTTAACACAGATGCATTTCAACGTGCAATTCTCCAATACTGTAACATCCCTGACGCGGACACTAAACTATCCCCAGCGCAGTGCGCATACCCATCCTACCTGGTCGGTACAAGCCACATCCAACCTGGAGCGACACGCTCGCCGCGAGGAAAGAAGCCTTACGAAATTGCCACATGAAACTAAGCAGCTGAGCGATGGTCCGAACACACAAAGAAGCTGCCACCCCTTGTCGGAAACCACGTGCGAATACAAAACCAATCAGGCCCACACCCTACTAAGTGGGACAAAACAAGTGTCATAGTTGAGGTTCTCCAATTTGACCAGTATCGAGTACGGGTCGAAGGTCCAGGTAGAATCACCCTTCGTAATCGAAAGTTCCTCCGAAAGTACATCCCTGTACAAGCACACACACCTCGACGTACCATTAATGACGACCTCCCCCTCCTTACCAAACAACAAACCTTACCTCACAAAGAAACACATAGCCAGACACCCGTACCACAATTGGAAATAGACCAAACTCAAAGACAGCCATCCACACCAAAGTCACTAATCACTACCACAACCACACGCTCACCCACATCAGCGACAGCACCCTACCCCCACTACTCCACGCCCCTCTCCTCCCCATCGCCAAACGCAGCTCCATCAAGGCCACAACGGCCACATACCCCATCCACACCAACTACCCAAGTTTAAAAACAACTAAGTCAAAACCACTCTTAATTGTTACATGGTATCGTCCACCAAATTCTAACACTAGCATATTAAACGACTTCGAAACGTTACTGCGAAAACTAGATGATACAAATATTGATATTATTATCACTGGCGTCGACCTAAATTGCGATATGATGGCAAACAGTCCAACTCATGAGTCATCATACAAAAAGGTTATCCGATCTGATAAATGAGTTTCAGCTAAAGTAACACATTACAAGTCCGACTAGAATAACGACAACATCTAAAACATTAATTGACATAATAATGACTAAAGCAAGCGATACCAGAATTATAGACTCTGGAGTGATACATTTAGGACTGAGTGATCACAGTTTAGTGTACATTTGCCGCAAAGTAGGAATACCTAGGGCTAAACCAAAAATTGTAGAAACAAGGCAGTTTAAATACTTTAATTCATCTGCATTTCAATACGACATAATAATGGCATTTCAAAGTCACTACAACCTCTATAATTATGCCGACCCAAATCGTGCGTGGGAGGTTTGGAAAACTATTTTTCTTGATATTGCAAATATGCATGCTCCACTTCGGATTCGGAAAGTCAAAAGTGAGCACTGTCCTTGGATGACAAACGAAATAAAAAACCTAGCGCATCATAAATTCTACTTGAAACAAAAAGCGGTCAAATTTAACTCTTCTAATTACCACGAAGCTTATAAACGTTGTAGAAATGAACTTAACAAAAGAATCAAAGCAACTAAGGTTCAATTTTACAACACTAAACTACAAAACAGTAAAAATAGTAAAGAAGGTTGAAATACATTAAATAATCTGCTTAATAGGAAATCCAAAACCACAATTGTTAATGAACTTAGCGTAGACCATGGAAAAAATGTAACACAAGATAAAGGCATAGTCGACGAGTTTAAAAAATTCTTCACTTCTATAGGTCCCAAATTAGCAAATAACATTGCTGACAATGGCTGTAGTCCTGATCCTTTGTCATATATAGACCAAGTCACAAATGTATTTCACTTTCATAGCATATCAAGCTATGAGCTGAAAAGAGAAGTACAAAATTTGCAAATGGCAAAATCTACAGGTCTAGATAAGATCTCAACTAAGCTAATAAAACAGGCAGGCGATACAATAACTGAATCACTTCTAGAAGTGTTTAACCTATCTCTTAGGACAGCAATATTTCCAGATGATTGGAAATTTGCCAAAGTGACTCCAATATATAAGTCAGAAAACAAAACCTTATGTGAAAACTATAGACCGATATCAGTCATTTCGAATATCGCCAAAATATTTGAGAAATTAGTCTGTAGACAACTAAATACCTTCCTGGATAACAACAACATAATTGTAAAAAATCAATCAGGTTTCCGTCGCAATCACTCAACCGAAACCTGGTTACTACAATCTACTGAAATGTGGTTGAAATCAATGGACCAGGGTCAAATAAATGGGGTTATTTTCTTAGACCTGAAAAAGCATTTGATACGATTGATCACCAGATTCTATTGTCAAAACTACAAGCTTATGCGATACGCGACCACGCGCTCAAATGGTTCCAATCGTATTTAGATCAAAGAAAACAAATTTGCATGCTAAATAACTGTAAATCTGATATTGAAGCAATTCGGTGTGGAGTACCTCAGGGTTCAAATCTTGGACCTCTATTATTTCTTATTTACATAAACGACCTCCCAAACTGCCTAGAAACAACACACTCTAATTTATTTGCTGATGACACAATTTTATCATGTCAAGGGCATTTATCCATAGATATTGAATACAAACTTAACAAAGTCCTAGTAAATGCTCAAAAATGGTTATCAGCGAATAAACTAACATTAAACAACGAAAAAACCAAATATATGATTATTGGATCTCGGCAACGATTGAAAACCTTAGATCACGTGCCAAAAATCAGTATAAACGGACATCAAATTGAACGAGTTTATAAAAAGGAAGCTTTGGGTATAGGTATAGACGATAGACTTAGCTGGAATAGGCAAAATGAAGAACAATGCAACAAGATATCAAAAAATATTAATCTTTTAAGAAAAGCCAAAGATTTTGTTGGCCTAGATACGCTCAAAATTATGTATAACGCATTAGTCGCGCCTCATTTTAACTACTGTTCAACTGTTTGGCAAAATAACAACCAAACACACTTAGACAAATTATATAAGCTTCAGAAACGAGCAGCAAGAATAATAACAAATTCGGACTATACTATAAGATCTTCGGACATTTTTCAAAAACTTAGCTGGAAACCTCTTGACTTAGTTTTGAAAAAGCGAGATCTCCTTATGACATTTAAAGCGATTAATGGCATGCTTCCAGAATACGTAACACAACTATTTCACACTTGCGAAAACAATGGTTACGTACTGCGCAGTAGTAATTTAAAGCTGTCTCAACCTAAACCTAAAGCGAATTTCTTGAAAAATAGCTTTTCGTACAGAGGAGCAGCGTATTGGAACAACATCCCAGTAAACTTGTTGAAAACCCTAAGAGAATCAACAAGTTTAAAATCTGTCCATCATCTATTAAATAATTACATCTTGTAGATAAGTAAATAAGTAAATAAGTATATTTTGTAAATAAGTATAATTTAGTTTATTAGAACCTTCTTTTATAATGCATTTATTTTCCGCACGGCCCTTTGAAAATCACCTATGTGAAAGGTTACCGTGTTTAAAGATCAATAATAATAATAAGAAGAAAACTGGCACTTAGGAGGCTAATGGACTACAATAAGAAAGGCCTCCTGGATTCATGAACAGTGACAATAAAATTAGTAATTTTTGCCTTTATATAAAGTCTTCCATGTCCTCAAGTACCATGTGTTGGAAAGGACGAAGGCGGGGGGGATAGAGCATGCTGATTGTTAGGTACATTAGACAAATAGGGACCTGGGCAATAGTTTAGTTTTAGTTTATGTTCTTTTATCATTCGGGATTGTGAACATATATCATATTAATCTCAGATAAAATAAAGCAATGATACTGAATGCACGCTCGAAATGGACAGACCCCTATCTAATTCTGGAAAACTCGTGATCGATTTGCATCTTCTATGATTTGCTTGCAACCGTAAAACATTAATGCCCAAAGTTTGTATTCGAGAAGCGACAACACAAAACATCTATAAATGATGCATAACTTTATGTCCCGTCTTCCTTATTAATAAACTACGGATATCCAATTTAGCGTTGCATTAACCTAAGTTTGTTTACTGGGTTATACTTTGTTTACTAAGATATACTAACCTCACAAGTACTGAGGAAGAAGCCGAAGAATAAGCTCAAGTGTTTCGGTCCGATACAAGTCGTGTGAACTTATGAAATTACTTGTGCTATCTTCGCTTTAATGCCAAGAATCCGACCTTGATCTTGGCATTGTTACATAGTTTCAGGCACTGAAATTGCCTGCCTAGCATATTCAACCGGCGCGCCACGGATTAAGATAAAGATATTACGTTATCTTATCATGCTAATCTAGGTGTGACATAAAAATCCATATTTCCGGGTAAATTTATTTATTTATGTTTCTTTCTTACTCAGATACAAACGAATGTCTACCAGTTTCACCTTGCCATGCGAATGCAACATGTAATAACACAGAAGGATCTTACATCTGTTCATGTGATTCTGGCTACAGTGGTGATGGATATACATGCAATGGTAAGTAACGCAAACATGAAAATAGGAGTAGCAACGCGGCCACAACAAACGTCTCTAATTAATGGATAACTTTATGTTTCTGCATTATTCAGATACAAATGAATGTCTACCAGATTCACCTTGTCATTCGAATGCAACATGTAATAACACACAAGGATCTTACATCTGTACATGTGATTCTAGCTACAGTGGTGATGGATTTACATGCAATGGTAAAACAATAATCAACAGCATGAACATAGGAGTAGCAACGACCACAACGAACATCTTCAAATAATGCATAACTTTATGTGTCTGTATTACTGACATATAAACAGGGGCGTCGGAGACATTGAAAGGGGGGTACAGGGCATGTCGTGCAGAAAATTTGAGTCCCTAAAATGCCATTTTCTGCTCTTTAGAAGGAGATTTACACAGTTCTAAATGTAACAAAATGTCATAAATATTTTAAATTGTTTTGTCTACACGCGTTCCTGAAATAATATCAATTAACTGTGTGGTTTATTATCGATCATTGTCAAAAGGTGGGGGGGGGG